ATGAACGAGAGGGAGGGAAGTGGAACAGTGAGGTTACAGGGGGCTGAGGTCAAGAAGGTGCAGGAGTTTAAGTATTTGGGGTCAACAGTCCAGTGTGATGGGGAGTGTAGGAAAGAGGGGAAGAGGCGAGTGCAGGCGGGTTGGAGTGGGTGGAGAAAGGTGTCAGGAGTGTTGTGTGACAGAAGAGTGTCAGCAAGAATCCAAGGAAAGGTGTACAAGACAGTAGTGAGACCAGCTATGCTGTATGGGTTAGAGACTGTAGCAGTGAGGAAAAGACAAGAGGCAGAGATGGAGGTAGCAGAGATGAGGATGTTGAGGTTCTCTTTAGGAGTGACCAGGATGGACAGGATTAGGAATGAGCACATCAGAGGGACAGCTCAGGTCGGCTGTTTTGGGGACAAGGTCAGAGAGGCCAGACTGAGATGGTTTGGACATGTGCAGAGGAAGGATAGTGGTTATACTGGTAGAAGGATGTTGGAGATGGAGCTGCCAAGCAAGAGGTCAAGAGGAAGGCCAAAGAGGAGATTTATGGATGTGCTAAAAGAGGACATTAAGTTAATTGGGGTGAGAGTAGAGGATGCCGAGGGTAGAGTTAGGTGGAAACAGATGATTCACTGTGGCAACCCCTAACAGGAACAGCTGAAAGAAGAAGAAGATTAATTCCATCAGTACAACAACAGTCATGCTACACTCACCACTATGTTCCTGAGTTTTTCAAAATTTAAAATCTTTTCAAAATTACAAATTGTGTTCTTTTAAGTTATAATCCTTTAGATTTCAGCCATGATAGGTTTGGCAACACCTGTGTCTACTGTCCTGTAGAACGTATCAAAGGGTAGGTTTGATTTGATGAAAATCTTAAGGATCCCAAATTTGAAGTACTAAAAGGCTTTTAATGTGAAACATCAGAAAGTGTTGAGTTTAATTACCAGTAGCTTTATAATAGTCAAAAATGGCAAAGTAGAACTGACTGGAATTACAAAGTAAGAATAGTATTTTTTATTCATCAGACGACAGAATGGTGATTATGATGTGACTTTTGATGTCAAACTAAAATAAATGATAAAGATCTGGCACTCTCTCCCTAAGGTACCATATATTTATGTATACATTGTACACTGTAGTCAAGTGTTCAGTTATAGACAACAGATACTGCATGTCACCAAATACTTGCAGCTCCATAGCTTTAAGGCCAATTCTGAGTGGGAAATAGCAAACTGAATAAATCCCCCTAAATTACATACTGTTTCTGGTTGCCTTGTCACGTGATATGCAAAAGTAAACCAAAGGAAAATTTGCAAACAGCATTTCACTTTTGAAATATCAGTGATCTAAAAAGGAGGAGGACTTGTTTTATTGTTCCAGTTTATGGTACAATATCCAGGTAGCCATAATGGAAATCTGTAGTCTTGCATTTCTTTTTCATCAGCCATAAACTTGAACATATGACTCTTGCTCCTTATGGACCACAGCATCTGATTTAACTTACTCAGCCTGAGTGTAACTCTTCACAAAGGCAGTGGAAGTTACATCTCAGAGTAGAGCTATTTCCAACGAAGTCATCTAAGGGTTCGGAAAAATGTAAACTCTGTTAAATGCTTCATCTAGAGGGAGACTGTCTCATAGTGCACTCACATACACACCCGCAGACAAACGTGCAGTGGAACACACATCACTTCTCATCAAACTGTTTAAAAGTCATAGGGATGTGGGGGCTTATATTTCAGGCATCATCTAAATCAGAGCAAATATGACAGGTATTTTCTGAAAACAAAATTTTGCCAGTTATGTTGCTTCTTTTAGAAATTAGATAAGCCATAAACCCACCGCTCTTGCGGCTGACATTTTGTTCCCGCTTCACCTACTTGACTGAAAACAATGGCACAGTTGTTGAGTATTAAATGAA